AAATAGATTAATTAAGTGGTGTCTTTTTCTTTATAACTGGTTGTAGGCTATTATGTCATAGGTTACAATATTTCTGCAAATCTGAATATTCGGCTTATTACCAGCGCTCTTTTACATTTCACCTTACCTGTAGGGCTGACATCTGGTTGTTGACCATTTTATAAGCTTACATTAACATATGTAGAACTAATAATTTATACTACACTCAAATTTAGTCACTCATTGTATTTATACACAAAACATTTGTACAACTTTTCACATTCACAACGTTGTATTTTGGTTGCAATTAGGTGATGTTGTAGTATGACATTTTAAAAACGGTTTTTAAAATAAATAATGTAAACTAAATGAAACATTCAGAAACATGAAAATGCCAACCTGGTATGTTTTAAGTTGTGTACTACGAAAACATACCTAGACCAAACTGCAAGTGTAGTTCACAAAAAAAAAAATCCAATCACCTTGCCGGGATCAAACTTTATTTCCTCACTAAGGGAAGTGTTATACAGAATGTAAACCTTAGTCACCGTTGACTTTCTTTGGTTCAAAGTGAATGGTGAATAAGGAACACTGTGTTTATTATCTCCTGTTAGTGTCTAACAAAGTCATACTAGTTTGGAATAACAAAAAAAAAAAAAAGAGTGTTAAATGATTACAGCGTTTTAAAATTAAAAACACATTTAATGTTTCAGTGCAATTAACATTCATTTCTTAACTAAGGTACCTATTCTTGCAATATTCAAGTGTTCATGTCCCCGAGTGATATCGGCATGTACATAAGTCTGAAGAGAACACACAATATGCTAGTAGACGGCAATCCATATGACTATAATTAACTAACAGGAAATTATAAAATTAAAAATTGACGAATAAAAAAAATGATGGACCCACTTTATATTAAGTGGCCTTAACAACTATGTACTTGCATTTAAATTAATAATTTGGTACAATGCAATTATTGTGTACATGCATGTTTTTACATTGTACTTATATTTTAAAAATACCTGCATGTAATTACATCTGTAATTAATTTGTGTAATTACATTTATAATTTCACTGTTGATCCATCCCTTACACCTTAACCCACCCTTAGACCTACCCATACCAACAAACCTGTCCCTAACCTTACCCATATCCCACCTTAATAGCAGCAAAAGTGTTTTGCAATACAATATGAACACAATAAGTACATTGTACTTAATTTTTGATGTAAGTACATAGTAGTTAAGGCCACTTAATATAAAGTGGGGCCAAAATTATTTATAATTCCCACCATCCATCCATGGCAGATGATGAACCTTTTTATTATCATCTGTGTCTCATTTCGAATTCATTTCTTAACTAAGGTACCTATTCTTGCAATATTCAAGTGTTCATGTCCCCGAGTGATATCGGCATGTACATAAGTCTGAAGAGAACACACAATATGCTAGTAGACGGCAATCCATATGACTATAATTAACTAACAGGAAATTATAAAATTAAAAATTGACGTATAAAAAAAATGATGGACCCACTTTATATTAAGTGGCCTTAACAACTATGTACTTGCATTTAAATTAATAATTTGGTACAATGCAATTATTGTGTACATGCATGTTTTTACATTGTACTTATATTTTAAAAATACCTGCATGTAATTACATCTGTAATTAATTTGTGTAATTACATTTATAATTTCACTGTTGATCCATCCCTTACACCTTAACCCACCCTTAAACCTACCCATACCAACAAACCTGTCCCTAACCTTACCCATATCCCACCTTAATAGCAGCAAAAGTGTTTTGCAATACAATATGAACACAATAAGTACATTGTACTTAATTTTTGATGTAAGTACATAGTAGTTAAGGCCACTTAATATAAAGTGGGGCCAAAATTATTTATAATTCCCACCATCCATCCATGGCAGATGATGAACCTTTTTATTATCATCTGTGTCTCATTTCGAATTATGGTGGACTCCTCTGTAAGTTGCTGTATACCAAGTGCCCTCTTAATGCAGAGTTAAATATTAAAATGTGATATTTATGTGATAGGCCTATATTTTTTTAAATATTTGACAAACTTTTTAATGGTAGTGTATGTTTGAGGTTTTACTTACTGGTCAGATGGTTCATAGCGCCTTGGGGATGTTCTTCGTCAGGAGGTTTGCTCCAACTTGCCTGCACGGCCATCAGCATTGAAGAATATAGGAACATAGACAACTTGTCACAGAGCCAACAATGTAGTATACAATGTCAGGTTTATTAGAAATAAACAAACTAGAGTAGAGGTGAAATGCAGAAAACAGAAAAGAATAACATACAGAACATACAAAAAAATCTTTAAGATACCAGGGGATATAGGTGAAATATTGTGGAAAATGCATATTAAGTTATTTAATAAGCTTTCTTTGTTTCATATCTCTGTCAGCAGCTCCCATTAGAAATTTTCTTGGATCATCCCCTGTTTTAGAGGGTTTTTTCGCTCCTGAAATCACAGTTCAATTTTTATCAATATTTGTTTACAATGAAATATCAAAATGTGTTTTAAATAGTTTCAGCCCATTTTAATCCATGTAAGTGACTTCACCAATTAACCGTACAGCGCATACATTTAGGTTAAATCAATTAGCTTACTTAAATTCATCCATTGACAAAAACAAAACAAAACCACTCTACACATAATGTGATTAAAAGCCCAAACTTTCATAAAAAAAGAGCTCAAATCTATAGTTAGCCTACATCTTAAGGCCCCGATATACTTCAAGCGAAATTGAACAACATCTGGCCAAAACGAAGTTCATTTTGGGAGTTCAAAAAGGCTTGCCAAAGCAAACTTTCCGGAAAAGTTTGTTCCGGCTGCGAAATACCTTTGTACTACCATTGGTCCGTGACAATTATATCACAGGACGTGTGCGCTGAGGCTCCACCTTCTTTCACGTGGAACTCTGCTCTGGGTTCATTTCGTCTGTCGAGTCCTTGGAGTTGAGATGTCTGTGGATAAAAACATGAATGCAGTGGAGAGCCGCTTTATAGTAGCAACTTCAGTTTTGCTTCCTGTGAAATGAGACACTGACGCTGTTTTTCATGTTTAATACTGCTGCTTGCTTTTAAGCAATATATTGAGTAAGTGCCATGTAAACACATGTGACGTAACTTCACGGGAGTGCTAATTTGCAGAGCTCCTGCAAACATACCCATGTTGCTATAAAAAATGCTTGCTGTTTTCTCCATTTCTGTTGTGTTTATTTTGTTACTGAGAGGAAAGCGTGCAGCACATATTTACATATTCATTTAAACGTCGCTTTCACCAGAGTGGGCGGTGTTGGGATGTTCGCTAACAGTGTACCGCTGCTCACGCATTTCGAACTTTGTTTTATCCCTAAACGAAGAACGAAAAAAGAACTTTGTTTTGAGTATATTGGGGCCTTTATAGTTATCCTCTATAGTTTGTTAGCATCACAACCGTTAACTATATATAGATAATTTAAAAAGTTCCTTTCTGTAATATACTTTTTGAAACTATTTTAAACATTACTGGAGAGACCTACAAGCTTTTCCAGCAGAAATACAATGATCAATCGTGTCAAATGCTGCACTTAGATCAAAGGGTATTAAAAATGATGCATTACCTTTATCTGTATTTAATCTCAGATCATTTACTACCTAAACATCTAATTCTAACATGCAGATTACTTTTTAAAATGTTGTACTACAACATTACCTAATTGCAACGAAAATACAACATTGTGAAAAGTTGTAAAAACATTGTGTGCTTGCTGGGGTGTCTCATTTCGCTCCCTATTTCATGAATCAGTTGATCCTGTTCATAAACACGTATTCGGTCACTGGCAAGCAGTTATGAAGAAACTGAGCTTTTTGAAACTCCGAGACAATTGAATTAGTTGCTTCGCAAAATGATTCACTGATTTAAAGTGCTCGAATCCCTGCACGCTTACGACACCTGCTGCTCAAAAAAAGTGTAAATGCAACGAGAACAACAAACACAAACATGTGTAATGACAACTTTTACAAACCAACTGCAAATGTTTTAATGAAAGTGGAAGTATAGCACATCATAGTGTTCTATTATTATTCTGTAGTACTAGCTTTGGTTGTTTTTGCCTTGTTAGGTGATTTAAGGCCATTATCACTCTGACTGACTCCCTTACTGAACCTAGGGAGCTGATTAATTTTTCTTTTTGTTAATTATTCTCATTTTAAACAGGACAAAGCGTCCAAACACAGAAAAACTCCTGGTGAAGCTGCTGAGATACATGTGACACACTATTATAAAGATGACGTATATTAAAGAGGAAAGTGAAGACACGAGGATTAAGGAAACATTCAGAGTCAAACATGAAGATACTGAGACACAAACAGAGATGGTGTTTATTAAAGATGAGAGTGAAGACATGAGGAATGAAGAAGCATTCAGAGTCAAACATGAAGATACTGAGACACAAACAGAGATGGTGTTTATTAAAGAACAACTTTTACAAACCAACTGCAAATGTTTTAATGAAAGTGGAAGTATAGCACATCATAGTGTTCTATTATTATTCTGTAGTACTAGCTTTGGTTGTTTTTGCCTTGTTAGGTGATTTAAGGCCATTATCACTCTGACTGACTCCCTTACTGAACCTAGGGAGCTGATTGAGACACACCCAGAGATTTAGTTTGGATTAATTTTTCTTTTTGTTAATTATTCTCATTTTAAACAGGACAAAGCGTCCAAACACAGAAAAACTCCTGGTGAAGCTGCTGAGATACATGTGACACACTATTATAAAGATGACGTATATTAAAGAGGAAAGTGAAGACACGAGGATTAAAGAAACATTCAGAGTCAAACATGAAGATACTGAGACACAAACAGAGATGGTGTTTATTAAAGATGAGAGTGAAGACATGAGGAATGAAGAAGCATTCAGAGTCAAACATGAAGATACTGAGGAAAAAACAGAGATGGTGTTTATTAAAGAAGAGAGTGAAGACACGAATGAAGAAACATTCAGAGTCAAACATGAAGATACTGAAGAACAAATAGAGATGGTGTTTATTAAAGAGGAAAGTGAAGACACGAGGAATGAAGCATTCAGAGTCAAACATGAAGATACTGAGGAACAAACAGGTTGGTTTTCATTCTCAAAGCTGAACTCACTCATTTGAACTTTATTAATCTCCAGCTCTACAGAAAATATTTACTCTTGTTAATACTTAACTTTTCAAAATTGAAAAAGGTATCTCTACTTAATACAAGAAAAAAGTTAAGTGAATAAAAATTTAAACATTTGGCTTTAAGTGAAAGGATTTATAAAACTCTTATATGCAAGAGCAACCAAAAAAAAGTAAGCTATGGAAGGTGATAAAGAATTGGAGTAATGTGCTCATCCGTTTATGTTAGAGTGGTCAGTTGGGCTGCAGAGTTTTTAACATATTGCAACTGTTTCATGATTTTAGATGAAAGGCCATAAAGAAGAGAGTTACCATAATCAAGGCGAGATGTGACAAAGGCATGTAAGACAGTTTCCATTCAGCTTTTTTCAGTTAGTCCTGCTGACTAAGAGAAGATCGTATATGAGAAATGTTATGAAAAATAGGTGGTGATAGTTAAGCACTGATGGCTCTCCTGAAGTAATCCTGAAGGCTACAAATAAAGCAAAGCGGCTTAAGTGGTTGCAAGAAAAGAGAACTGGACAGTGATTGACTGGAATAAAGTTCTGTGGTCAGATGAGTCCAAATTTGATATTTTTGGCTCTAACAAAAGCGCTTATGTCGAATGGAAAACTGGGGAGTTGATGTTACCAGACTGCCTCACACCCACAGTCAAACATGGAGTTACATTGAGTCAAACAATGGTTTAGGGTTGTTTTGGAGCAGATAAGGTTGGATGCTTATTCTGGGGGGTTCTCAGAAATTGTGGTCCGGGGGCACCTAGATCGAACCGAAATGCAAGTGTCCCAGGATGGATGTCCTTCGTAACCCTGGCATCCTGGCCAAATTTGCTCATTGGCCTCTGTCCATCATCATGTTCAATCATCACCATATCTACTGACTGGCTGCATCACTGCTCTCCACCAATAAGCTTGTGTGTGGTGGGAGTCCTAGCACACTATAGGCTGGGACACACTTGTCGTTGAGTGTCTGTCGGGCTAGTTTTTGCTGTGTGATCCACACAACAGCTCTAGTTGCATTCATGTCGGCAGCAGTTTGCTCAATTCAGCATGTTGAATCGGCGTCAGGGCCATCGGCAAGAGTGAGAACTCTGATTGGATGTTCAGTTTAGTGAATGAGTCCGTGCATGAGAATTAAAGCAAAAATTATGAAAGTGAGCAAGTAAGTCAAGACGGCACGAGCAGAAGGCTGTTCTAATGTTACGTTATCTTATGTGCGTATTCCAATACATTAATATTTTCATGTCAAAATGGTAAACAAGTGCTGCTTTTATGTTTCGTGTATGTCATATATCCTTGTTTCAGTAGATATAGATTATTGATACCTGTTGATATAGACAGTTAATTCCTTACACGCAGGCGTAGAACGCACATGCTAGATTGCAGTTGGCTGTAGTCTGGAGTGGTCAATCATGGAGTGGTCTGCCCAGTCACCCTAAATCCTATTGAACTGCTCTGGGATGAACTGAATCGCAAGATCAGAAAGAAATATCCAACTAGCTAAGAACAGCTTTGGCAAGTTTTACAAGAGACATGGGAAAGTATTTCAGCTGAATATTTGGAGTAACTAACTTACTGGATGCCAGGAGTGTGTAAAGATGTTATAGCTGCTAAGGGAGGATTTATCAAAGAAAATAAAGTTTAACTGTTAATTACTTTTTTGTACCAATATTTTTTAGAAAAAGTGTTCCAAGTTTAAGCAGTAAAGAATAAAAGCATGAAGTTATGTCAGAATTTAATATTCATCAGATCTACAGCCTTAAGGAAACATCAGTTTTTCAAACACACCTTTGTGAAAAAGGATACCTAATGTATCATCTAATAAGACTACGTTTGATGCTTCAGTTGATCTTTGATGAAGTTGGTTGATGACAAAGAACCAGTTTGAGGATTTTTGACAGGATTCACAGGATTTTTGATGAATGGAAAGATTTGGCCAGAACCTCGCACAAGCTTAAAGGGGGTCATATGATGCTGCTAAAAAGAACATTATTTGGTGTATTTGGTGTAATGAAATGTGTTTATGCGGTTTAAAGTAAAAAAACCACATTCTTTTTCACGTACTGTACATTGTTTCTCCTCTATGCCCCGCCTTTTTGAAATGTGTCGATTTTTACAAAGCTCATCGGTCTGAAAAAGCGAGGTGTGCTGTGATTGGCCGAATACCTCAAGCGTGAGACGGAAATGTTACGCCCCTCACCATACTGTGATGGCGTGTCCCGGCCGGAGCGAAGAGACAAAAACATTAAAACCCATTACAAACGCATTATGCAAATCTTCCCACATAGTGAGGTAGATATGTGGGGGCGTGTTAGAACGAGCCGTTTTAGGTAGGTGTGGCTGACTCTTAACTTTTTTAAAGAATATCTCTTTGGATTTGAGACTTTAGTCTTTGCAACTTTACAGATCTTCTTTATGCACCAAGAGCTTGTAACACTCCAAAGAGAAAGGAAAAATTGAAATCGCATCATATGACCCCTTTAAATTCAGATTCGATGGGTCTTAAATATTTTTGGTCTCATTACCAAATATCTTCAGTCTGACGGACCTAATGATTGTTTACAATCATTGGACAGACCCCCGCGGTAAGTTACTGCGTCATCAGAGAGAATTGCAGTAAGTTAGCAGAATACAGAATACAAGAATACAGAATGTCTCGAGACTTCAGAACAAATGAGCGTGACGGCACACATAAACTAAGAAGAAACACACTGAGGTAAAAATTCTAAATGTTTAGTTTATTCATAACATGATATAGTTAAATAACACCATGACAAGTGAGCTATTTTACTCAATATTCTCACGCAGCAAAAAAAACGTTAAAAACACCTACAGAGTGCACGCATTACGTGAAGTCTAGTGCGTGTGAGCATTTACAGTGCGCTCTTACACTGCATGATTCAGTCTATTAAAATACATTCAGAATGATCCCAAATTCAAGACATGGGGGCAGAAAATGTGTATATTTATACCAATTCATATAGTTAATCAAGTTCACACGGAAGAGTGCCTTTTTTCTCC